AGCTGCTAACCAAAAGGTCGGTGGTTTGAACACATAAGCCATTCCATGGGAGAAAGATGCGGCAGTTAGCTTCCATAAAGGTTACAGCCTTGGAAACTCTGTGACACAATTCTCGTCAGGCTATCGGCTCACTATGAGGCAGGATGGACTGGATGGCAAGGGTTTGGTTTGGTAAACATATTGAGTAAAATAGGCAATACGATATAGGCATCAACTACATGATTAAGTTACATTGACTTTGATCGAAGTCACTGGGCAGAACAAGCATGTTTGCAGCACACTTAGCCCTTTCAGGCCTAATTCAAGCTCTTCCCCCCATGGCCTTATTTTCTGTCAAAGGCACAAACCTCAACATCGTTCCTCAAAATGGAGCCATCCAGGCAGACAGCTACCTCTTTGATTACTATTAGGCTATTTGCATGTGTTTTATCTCATTTTAAAGTCTTTAGCATGACAAAAATAACGAGTTGCCAGAGCAATTATTTTAAAACAATTTAACCTTTACTCAAACTGCAACCCTACTTGGTCCATCTTGCTGCACTTTTGGCCGTTAAGAATTAAAAACACTGCAGTTTGGCTGGCTGCCTCTCCCTGTCTGGTCTCTCCTTAAACCCTCACGGACTTGTTATCTTTTGGAATTAACAAATTCATTTTTTTCCTATTAACTAAACTTGACCTTCCCTCCTTTGATTCATCCCACCACTAATCAAAGCCTACCACCACCATGTTTATCTAGAGTCACCACTACAACGAGGTCAGCAGGCTTGTATACAGGCTCAAAACAGGGCTCACGGTGAAGTGCTGGGAAGAAGCCCCGGTCTGGAAGCAAGAAGCCGGGTTCTGCCCTCTACTGCTGTGACCTGGCAGCACAACCTCAGGCACATCCTCCCCCCTCCAGGAGCAATGTCCTCTGCTGTGCAATGGGGGACAGGACACACGACCTCGCAGCCCTTCCAGGGAGGGCCTCCCAGGACTCCCTGGTTTTCCTCTGTTGGACAAGTGACCATACAGCATGCATCTACTGGGGGCAGTGCCAATGTTGCAATCCCTGGCACCTCTGCCCCCACACCATCAGCATGCTAGTTCTTAAGTGGTGGTCTCAACTATTAATCTTACTAATGCCAAGGGGCCTTGAGAGAGGGCTTCCTGTCTGGTTGCTCCCTAAGGACATGGTGCTGTTAGGTGCCGCTGAGTCCGCTCTGACCCCTACTGACCTAATGTATATCAAAACAAAACACTGCCCAGTCCTGTGCCAGCCTCACAAGCCTTGCTGTACCTCAGTCCTTTGCTACAGCCACTGTGTCAGTCCATCTCGTTGAGGGCCTTCCCCTTTTTCATTGACCCTCCACTTTACCAAGCATGATATCCTTCTCCAGGGAATGGTCCCTTCTGACAACATGACCAAAGTAGGTGAGACCAACTCTGGCCATTCTCACCTCCAAGGAGCATCCTGGCTGTACTTCTTCCAGGACAGATTTGTTAGCTCTTCTGGCAGTCCATGGTACTTTCAGTATTCTTCGCCAATACCTACTAACTAAACACCAGCAACTCAAAAGCATCCACTCTTCTTTGTTCTTCCTTATTCACTGTCCAGCTTTCACATGCATATGATGTGACTGAAAAAACCGTGGCTTAGGTTAGGCACACCTTAGTCCTCAAAGACATCTTTGCTCTTCAGCACTTTCAAGAGGTCTTTTGCAGCAGATTTACCAAGTGCAATACATCATCTGATTTTTTTTTTTTTTAATTGTGATTTGGGTGAACATTTACAAAGCAAATTCACTTTCCCTATAGCAGTTCACAAACATTTTGTCTCATGACATTGACCACAATTTACCACAATGCAACAACTCCCCTCCCACTTCCTCCTGAAAATTACCTCTTCCCAATGTCCATCCCTCTATGCCCTCCCGCTCCCTGAGCTTTCTCCCGGAGCATAAGCAGCCCTTCTTTCTCTCATGATTGTTTTCTCCAAGGAGTGTATCTACCTCAGGTAAATGTTCAACTCATACATCATCTGATTTCTTGACTGCTGCTTCCATTGGTGTTGAGTGTGGATTCAAGTAACATGAAATCTTTGACAACTTTGAACTTTTCTCCATTTAACATGATGCTGCTTATTGGTCCAGTTGTGAGGATTTTCATTTTCTTTATGGCTATTTATAATTTGGACCTAAGGACATAGCTATTTATAATTTGCAGTCTCAGGTGAGACTTGGGTCCTAGCATCTGAATGCTTCACATTTTGAGCTACCTTGCCAGATCATTTCTAAAACCGTAATAAAACAGCTCACAGTACTCAGTAAATGTTTGCTGAAATGAATAAACACTGCCTTGGGAGCTCTGGTGGCACAGTGCCTAAGGCATCTGACTGCTAACCAGAAGGTTGGTGGTTCAAACCCACCAGCCACTCCCCAGAAGGAAGGTTGGGTGATCTACTTCTGTAGTGATATCGCCTCAGAAACCCAAGGAGGGGTCGCTATGAGTCAGACCTGACTCGACAGCAGTGGGTTTGGCTTGGGTATTCTCTATAACCACAGGAGTTTCACTGAATGAACAAAGGTCAGTAGGCCTGAAGTAGAGGAATAAATTCATTCTGCAAAACCTAAAACCTCAAACTAAAGCAATTTCCTACCTGAAGTACATCAGATAGTGTAGCATTTGGGACAAAGAATTTGGTTTGGCCGTTTGACTCCAGTTTCTGAAACTAATCCAAGCAATCAATATGCTTTTGTTTCCCAAAACAGCCAGGCAAGTAAGGGCTATGCAGACTCCACACGTGGAGCCTAACTACAGGCAGGGCAGGGGACCTAATGCAGTCATGCATCTTCATTGAGGTCCCAGGGACTGGAGGACCCACCACTCTGGAGCACTGTATCTGGGGCCTCCTGGATCAGCAAGGACATCCATTCATGGAGAGGAAGCAGCATGTCTCTGGTGATCATGGAGGCCCTGTGCTGGGGACGTTCCCAAATCTAGCTTGATACTTCTCTGTACTTGTATCCTTTATGATTATAATAAAGTATAGGTAAGAGTCTCCTCCGAGCTTTGTGAGCCATGATGGAGAATTAACAAACCCACAGGGGCAATGTCCCATTAGGGCTGGCAGTAGAGTCAGTTTGTGTAGACGCAGTTCTGGGTGGCTTGGTGATAAAGGCCACACGGGTCGTTGATGACAGAGTCCATCTAGCTGGTGACTTAGCCCCAGGGGACTACAGAGAGAGGCCCCTAGTCTGAAGTACAGGGAGTCATGGCCATTCTTGAGCCAATGGTTGCTCCTGATGACCTGGCCTTAAATGGCTCAGGATGGCTGGGGATGAGTTCTGACTTATGTCTGAGTGGTTAGGGTCAGAGAGAACAATTGCCACAGAAATGACCGGCAAAAAGGATTAATAAGGTGGGGCCTGGATCCACTCTCAGCTAAGAATTGGACTCCAGCTGATCTTTGCTACAAAATTAGTGATAAAGATTGCCCATATTGCCCCTTTTACAACATGCAGGCACTTTCTTGCAACTGTATTTTCAAAAGCTCTATTATGGGGATACCCTCCCCATCCCAAAGAGTGTGACTGTCAGTTAAGCCAGAGGTGCAGGGTTCACTCCCAGCTCTCTTACTTACAAGCTGAGTGACTGAAAGTCCCATTTCCTCCTGTGTAAAATGGGGCAAACAGTAAATTCCATATTTGACTGTTGATTAAATAAACGCTGTATCCCTAAGATGGAGAACTTGGTAACTGCTAGCTAATTAACAAAGCCCTCTTGCCTCCGTCTTCTCAGTTAATCCTCCTGGTTGGTGGGAATCATCCTCACACTCACTCACAAACGAGAAAAATGACATCAGAGAAAGGAGGCAAGTTGCCAAGATCTCAGCAGTTGAATGTGGGTCTGACTCATTTATCAGGGAGACCTCCAAGCCTGGATGATGGGGTACAGTAGGAACAGTGAGTTTGGAAGACTAAGAAGCACCCAAGGAGCCTCTTCCCCCACATTTGAGAAGCAGGGCGGCTCTGAGGGAAAGCAGAGCTGGCTCTGAGAACAGAAGAGCTCCACACACTGTGTAGTCTTTTCTGTTGAAAGAAGCCAGCTTTGTAGACAATTTTCATCTATTTTAACTTGATGCCAACATGTGCATGATTTCAGAACGCCTTTTTTAATTCTTCCTATGGGGACATTGGCACCTGGGGAAAAAACTGGAGTCTAGACTAGTACAGGTGTGAAAACAGAAGCCAAGTTGCATTTAGTCTCTCCCAGGAACAAATCTATCCCCATCCACTATTTTACGGGAATGTGTTCAGGGTAGATTTATGTCCAAGATCCTCGTCTTTCTATTCCCCACGCATCTTAGGAGCTCTTGGGTCCTTTCCCTAACATGGCCTTCTGCAATGACTTAAAAGGCTCAGCCCAACGGCACTGACAGCACTAACCATCCCCTAGTTTACTTCATCTCTTACATACTCAGCATGTGCTGGCTTATGTATTCACTCAGAAGTGGCTACAAGTGCCGGTATCTCACTCTGATAGGCAGGCCTTGAATTTTCAAAATGAAATAATTTTGATAAATCTAATTTACAGAATGAATTATTTCAAAATGTGCTTTAGCATAAGTAATAAACTGATGGAAGCCCCTGGTCTACCTTCATAGAATTAGGAACTGGGAGAGAAAAGAGGCCAACATATTACCTATGGTCTTAGAGACAAAAAACAGAATGAGCCTGTGACTATTCCCCTGGTACCAGCTGCCTCTGAACACAGATCCACCTAACAGCTACAGGCACACTCCCTGCAAACCAAAGCATACCCAAAGCGACAGACATATCTAGGAGAAAACAAGCCGTGGCCAAGAATGGTAGCTTGCCTTTGAATGCCTCCATGGTCATACAAGGAACTGTCATTCCAACACAGAAAACAGTCCCCACAGAACGTGTTCTACATATTTACCTGTAAATGTAAAGGCAAAGAGACTAAAGGCACAAATAGGCAGGCATTAGCTGTCAGACTTGGTATAAAATAATTAAAAAGTTTATTAGCCAAAAAGAAACAAAATGGATTCCTCAAAGTCAATTCTCATTAAGTTCCCTGTGAAACAGTAAGCTTACAGAAAATTTCTTTCTCATGAACAAAAAAATCACTATGCTTTTGGTCCAAGATACGCTGGGATTTTTCCTCCTTCTTCAGATGAAAGACAGATGGATGTAGCTGCATCTATGAACGAGTGTACTTGCCCCAAATGTGCAACATAAATACAGAAGCGATGAACAGAAGACTCATAACCAATACTGGAACAGGGCCACTAGAAACGAGAAGAGAAGGCAGGCTTACTTTTAGTAATAATACATTGTTATATTTTCAATACCAATGATTGCCTAGGAGAAGGGGGAAAAACCACTACAATTCCCTCAGCAACATCATTAACATCATATTGAAATACTCCTCAAATCGCAGTGTGGCTGTTTTGAGGGTGTGGTGGTGGTATTATGATTGTATTTAGAAAGGAGGCGTCCTTATCCTTCTGCGAAGCACACTGAAATATATTCAGATAAAAACGTGATGCCCTGGGTTTGCTTCAGAATAGGATGAAGCAGTGCAGAGCGGGCGGGGCACAGGGAACAAGACCGGCCGGAGCTGCTGACGGCTGAAGCCACAGGGCGGACACACGGGAGCGCCGCACCCTCGTCTCTCCACCTTCACAGACCTGATTTTTCCGTAAGACAGAAGAAGAAAACGTCCCCAGATCCTTTCAATTCAATGATCCAATTACCAAACTCATCTTTCCAAATTAAGACTCATTTAAAGAGAACAACTCTCGTTGCCTCATAATGCACTTGGGGAACTGTATCACCGTGTAGCACAGACCCTTTTCACACAGGTGACCCCACTTGCTTGCTGTACAAAAACACATCAGGAGAGACAGTCACCTCACCTCATGACTCAGGCAAAGGAGGCTGAGGGAGAGTATCAGCTCCTAATTCAGAGCTCCGGTGGCACAGGGCCTAAGGCAGCTGACTGCTAACCAGAAGGCTGGCGGTTCAAACCCACCAGCCACTCCTCGGAAGGCTGGGCAATCTACTTCCATAGTGATGCTCCCTCGGAAACCCAAGGAGGGGTCGCTGTGAGTCGAATCAACTCAATGGCAGTGAGTTTGGCTTTGTTTGGTTTTACTCCATAGCCAAGAATGAGAGACATGAACTCAGGTTTTCTGATTTTACACTTAACATTCACTTTACTGCTTCAAGGTCTCTGTGTTCTCGGAGCAAACATTCTGGGCAACATGTATGAAGTCTGATTTATATCTATGAGTTTTGATAGAAGGAAGTGGATCTTCCTCATCCGCCTGTCCCTAAATCTAATACCACTCAAGTATAAAACCAGCATATATGGGTTCCTTTTCAAAGGAGAGCCCATGGAGCTGACACAGCCTGTGAATATTGAATTTAGTGAAATATTACAGGCTGCAACTCTGACTCTTCCTGACAACAGCAGTTTTAGAAAACTGGAGAAGTCTCATCACCCAAGTACAACGAGGAAGCTGACAATGGAAAAGCCCATAGAAAAGGCAGCTTTATAATCATCAGGCAGTAGGAGAAAGCCCAGCAGAGCAGCGGGACTAACAGAATCCACTGTGGACAATAAATGACGCCTAGAGATCAAAGCCCTTGCTACCCGCCTATTCTGTCCTTCCGAAATGTGTACCGTAAGGGAGTAAACACCTTTACGACTACCCGGGGAGAGGCCACCATGCAGGGACTTGTAAACTTGTTTACTCCCCTGCTTTACAGCAATGGAACACTGACATCACATATATGTGGAGTATATGTGGGGGATGCCAGCTCACAGTGCAGCTCTCAGTCAGAGCACAAGGGGCTGGAAATAGCTGTCTTTCACTTAGAAACTGTCAACTGGCCCCGACAGTCATCTTCTTCAAGGCCCAGTTTCTTCATCTGTGAAGTGGAAGTAGTACCTTCTTCACAGGGTTGCTGATGTATTAAATAAATTAATATCCAACGCTAGCTTTTAGTAAGTACTCAGTACATGCTATTATTATCACTTGGTGGGGGGGGGTGTCGCACGGGTGATCTGAACTCTGAATTCCTAAGAGCCAGAAACATGGTCAAACATTCCAAGGTATGGCTTTGGGGATGGGAATTTCCACCTGCATCCTTTCCCCAGACACATCTGTCTCTGGTATGACGTGATTTATTTGAGAATGTGGTTTGTAACATTTTAAGGAGCAACTTCTGAGTTCCCGGGAGGAGTCAAGCAACAGCAGGAAGCCCAAAGCACAAGACAGCACCCTCCCAGGAGAAAGTCTGTCCCCCTTCTGGACAAGAGTTCAACAATGCCCCGGATACTCTCAGCCACAAGGGCTTCATATGTTCTCTCAGAAAGGTGTCAGGAGAACGCTGCCAACCCCCATGGCCCACCCTAAAAATGACTTCCTAAATACATTCTTACCTTACTATACAGATCTCCACAACAGGGAAAAAAAATCAGTAAAACCAAATCTTAAGAATTCCAGGGAAGCTCTCATAAACCATAACAACAACCCAAGTAAAACTGCTGGTTAAGTTAGTTAAACTAACCCAAATGAATCTGATTTGCTCTTTCTTCTCTACCAGACAGGATGTATGTGAAGAGCCTGGGAGTTAGCAGTCAGAATATCTGGTCCCACTTCTTGCTGTGTGTCTTTCAGTATGTCACTCTGCCTCTCTGACCTGAGCTCCTTCTTTTGCAAAATGTCCAACATCTCCTCCAATCACATCCCAGTGGGATTAGGTCTGCCACACCATTAGGTTGGCCCAAGGGAGAGCAAGACCTGGGGACAGGGGTCCCCGCGATGCCTCTCTCCCATCTCCTAATGAGCACTCCCAGGCCTATGAACCCAGAAAGTGGTATGTTTGCTCCCTGGGTCTACTCACCACCCCTGACAATAAGCAGGCCAAGGAACTTGTGGAAGCAGAGCCTAATGGAGAAACTTCTATTAGGCTGTAATCCTATCAACTGTGCCTCCAGGAAAGCTTTGAAAAATCACCCAATTCCTATTCAGATGGTTCCTCCTATTTCTCAGTGTGGGACAAGAGCACCAAATGAAGAGCGATTTCATTTAATTAAGCGGTTTTCCCTCCAGTTCTCTTTGTTCCCGTCATTAGTCTGACACAGCGCCATGAAAGCTGCTCTTCCTGTCACTCAATGCACAGAGAGATGTCATTCCAGGGCCTAACCTGTCCAACCAGTTGATATATGGGCAAAGCAAACACAGCCCCCCGGCACAGATGAAGCTGTAGTATTGCCAGTCTCCCCAAGGGGAGCACCACTGGTGGCAGCGACAAGCCAGTGCTGCCAGATCGCTAGCTGGGAAGGACACAAGCACCGGCTCTACTGCCGAGACTCACACTTTGAGGCCAGGCGAATCCTCGGTGTAGAACCGCCACATCCCCCCAGTGCCCGCTGAGGTCGTGCGGCCGGCACTCCTGGTTCCACAGCTGGCATTTTTCCTGTAAGAGAGACAAAGGTCACCACTGCCTTTTCTTGGAAATCCTCACAACAACACTGTAGCACACGCTACTATCACACTGGCAAGGATTCTGAGGATGGTGCAGGACTGGGCAGCGTCTCCTGCTGCACACAGGTCACCGGGCAGTGTCTCCTGCTGTACACAGGTCACCGAGTTGAAGCCAACTGGACAGCACCAACAACTAACAATTATTATGCTGTTTTTTTAAAACAAAAGAAGAAAGGAAGTAACCCTTTCTCTTTGCTGGTACTCCCTGAATTCCTGTTGCACTCCTCTGACCATAACCACCACTATGAGCTGAGTACGTGCCACATGCCAGTGCTTCCAATAACTCAGAAAGGCAGTTACTGCTTCCACGCAGGTTCAGAAAAGACACAGCAGAGAGCCCACAGCCACACAGCCAGCAGGTGGCCAAGCTGGGATGTGGCCCCAGTCCCGACCAGGCCACCTGCCAACATCAGGCCTCATCTGGACAGTCCTTTGCCATTTCTCTTCACATGTATTTTTGAGAAGCCAATAAAACCATTGAAAAAGGTTCTGAACCATATAATCTGATTTTTTAAAATGACTACTTATGATAACCTTACATGTGCCCAGGTCCCAGAATGGAGCACACGTTTTATGGAAAATGACTTTGTAATGTTTTCACTATTCTGATACACTGACCACAGACCCCAGACAGAAGACCCAGCCAGGACACGTCCCTCAGAAGGAGATCAAGGCTCCTGACGTGCTGTGTGACACAGGCAGCCCTGGAAACAGACGGAGTCCCCACAGCACTTACGTAACAATACTCAGCTACTGACCACGCACAGGCCTAGGGAATCCTCGCCCCCATCTGGGAGAGCCCCTCAGTCACCAGAGAAGTCCACTCAGGACTATTCTCCAGGCAGCGCTGTCCACCCCAGTGCTGGGGGGGTATGACATGGGAGCGAGCGACATGTGCTGAGAGAAGCCAGAGGAGTCCTCTTCAGTCCGTTCACCAACTCGGAATCCCAGGTAGAAGGGCAGGGAGAGAAGGGAAACCTTGTCCCATCCCAGGCCCTGCGTATCTTCCCTTCAAATCCCATTCCAGTATCTGCAGGTTACTGATCCTGGGTATTTTAGAAAAGGGATGGGTATAGAAAGGAAACAGAAAAGAAAACCCTACTCCCACCACCTCTTCTCATTGCCCTCCCAACTATGGCCCTAATCCCCCCCTCACCCTGTATTACGGGCTGAGCTGTGTCCCCCAGAAAGAAATGCTGAAGTCCTCACCCTGGGCCTGTGAGCATGAGCTAGTTTGGAAACAAGGTCTCTGAAGATGTTATCAGTTACGATGAGGTCACACTAGATCAAGGTGAGTCCTAATTCCATGTGTGGTGTTCTTACAGGAGAAGACAGAGAGACAGACAGAGGAAAGCTATGTGGAGGTGTGTGTATACACCAAGGTGTACCTGGGGCTACCAGAGGCTATGATACACAGGAGCCTGGGGAGAAACCATGCCCCTGCCAACAGCCCAAAGTCAGACTGCTAGCCTACAGAACTTGGGGACAAACTGCGGCTGTGTAAAGCCACCCACTTTATGGCACCTGCTACGACAGCCCTAGGACACGTAATACCCACTGCCATGGCCTGTAGCCCATGCTCTAAAGGCAAAAAGCACCAGTCTGGAGCTCAAGGAGCCTGGCCCTACTGCAAGGTGGGGCAGATGAGTGAGGTCTGGTGCCAGCTGGGGACCCAGCAGAAAAAGCTGTGTGTATGCTACAACTTTGAAAGCATTTTCCCACAATCAGTGTCAAACAATGCTTGGAGTCTATTACACTGCAGAGAATTTATTTCAGACACATTGATTATGGGCTCCATGTAAGTCTTTGTGAGCTTGCCTGTGAACTAGTAAGTTCATTTGTATGATGTTTCTATGGGAAAATGGATTGTAAACAGCAAATACAGTGATTTACAGAACTAGTGCTCTTTGAAAACTTTACACACACCCCCTATTTAATCAGGAAGGCAGGTAGCTGAGACTGTCCTCCTTTTTTATGAAAAGGGACTTGAGCTAGAAGGTAAGCCCAGGGAAGACAGGCTAAGACACCAGTTGAGCCAGGACTAGGGTCCACATACTTTTCTCAGTTCCCACAACCTCTCAAGTCCAGTTCCTGTCTGCAAAGTCTCCTGCAATTGCAGAAGCCCTAGAGGAACCAAAGTCTGGCCTCTTTTAAGATTTCTTATTTCTGCTGGTACAAGGGATGCAGTAGAGGATCTGAAAACCAGGGCACCTAGAAATACCAAAATGTACTCCAAATAGTCCCATTCCCCCACTGGGAAGCGAGGTAGAGGCTGCCAGAGGCCCGAGTTAACCCTTACATTTCTGTCTGGGTCCATTTCACCCTTTCCTTCTGGCCACTGTGTAATCGCTGCCTTTTTTCCTATACCTCAACATGATGGTTTTCCTAACCCTTTCCACACTTCCTTCTAAACACCCTGGCATCCTAGCTGTTCCTCCAAGAAGCCAAGCTCATTCCTCCTTCAAAGCCAAGCTCATTCCCGCTTCAGTCTTTACGATTACCTGTTCCTTTTGTGTGGGAAGCTTATCTCTCCCCCAATCTCTGCATGATTCGCTCTCCTGCCTCCTTCCATCTCAAATGTCACCTAAACACTCTAATCAAGACACCTATCCATCCTCACTCTTTTCTCATCACTCTTAATGCCCATCAAGCATTATTTTCTTGATCGCTCTGAAATTATACTGTTTCTTCCTTTTTCACAGACTTTCACACTAGAAGAATCAGAAGAATAGAAGAATCAGGAACACAACCCTGCCCATCTTATTCACAGTTCCATCCCCAGAGCTGGAAGAGGGCCTGGCGTGCAGTACAGGCCTCCATAACTGGTTCATGACTCTCTAAATATCTCTGACTCCCTTAATCCTGCTCAAACATTGTTCAGCACTTTAAAATTTACAAGGCATTTTTGCTCCTTTTCATTTTCATCACTACCTCCTTTGACACTGTACTAAGTAGAGCTAGGAATCCAACTCTTGTCTGATCTTCAATCCTGTATCGTTTCCTCTTCCAAGTTTTGCCTCCATTACCTCAGTGAGTAGAGAAATACTGCTCATCTGCAGGCAACATAATAGAAATATTATTAACCTCTCAGATTCATAAAGCAGGCATATGTTCTTAGACAGACAATACTTTCGACATTACTACACTAATGAAAT